GCCAGCATTTGTTGCTTGCTGTTCTGTTAAATTTTGCTATTTTGACTGGACTGAGTTGTTTTAATTTGCATCTCTCTTAGACCTAGGGATTTTGAACATTTCTTCATGTGCTTGTTAGCCATCTGAATGTCGTCTTTGGTGAAGTGACAGTTCATATCCTGTGACCATTTTTCTATTGGATTATTTACCTTTATCTTGTTGTGGTTCAGTATGGATTTTTGGACCTTTGGTTTCTTTTTCATTATATGGCTGAAACAATACACATAGGAGATGTTTGCGGCCCTGCCAAGAGTATAAGACAGCTTACTATTCATATAAAAGGCAATTAGTACCTTTTGAGAAGGGATATTTGAGTAAGGTGTGTAGAGTACTAAAAGGGAGATTGTCTAGTTTTCTTATCCCTCTAGGCTTAAACGTAGCAGGTTCAAAACAGAAGATGGAAATCCTTTGTGCCAGAAATCCTTGCACATGACAGTAAAACACAACAGCAGTACCTTTGTGCCAGAAATCCTTGCACATGACAGTAAAACACAACAGCAGTACTGAAAGGTGGAGGATCAGAGAGTGATGCAAGACAAGGCTGACATGGATCTGCTGTCCATGGAGTCTAGGCAGAGTGATGAGAGAGAATCATATATGGAAAAACTTTTTTCAACACCTGTGGCAGGACCCTGAGCCACAGGATACAAGAATCTTGCCTATGAACATTGCAAAAAGAAGCTGCTCCGTCGAAGAATGGCTCCTGAGTGTTTTTTGTCTGAATTGTAACTTGTTACTTCCCTAATAAACCCACAATCATGAGCATTATCTGTGTGTTGTGTGGCCATTGTGTAAAAAGAGAAAGGGGTTGGCCATATCTGACTTTTACTTTCTCCACAAATGGTAGCTATCCCTGTCAACAACATCAACAAACAAAACCAAATCCTATGTGGTTAGACAAGTCCTTCATGTTCCCATACCTTTTTTCACTCCTCCCAACACCAATCTTAATGATTTACCAAGTCTAAAATCTCAAAGCCAATAATTCTTATTCTTTTATCCTTGTTTATTGTTCAGCTCTCTGATGCATAGCAAGTAATTGCAAAGACAATGGTTTGGATTGGGCGTATCTTAGTATCTAGACTGATATCATTGCTCTGCAGTACGCTGAAGAAGTCCCTAACAGCAGATTTCCCCAATACAATTCTTCCTTGATTTCCTGGCTGCTGGTGCCAAGAGTATTGATTGTGGAGCCAAACAAGCTCAAGTTTTGACAATATCAATGTCTTCACCATCTATCCTAAAATCAGTCTTACTGCTTTATTGGGTCCAATATCTGTTGCAATGGCTCACAACACCAGAACCACATTAGGGGAAGTCAAAAGACAATTATTAGGTTAGTATAAGATACAGTCACGCAGGATATCTTCTGAAATTTGCTCACAGGCACCTCAGCCTTGAGCCTCATGGCTTTAGGCTGTGTTACAAAGGTCTTAATCCTACCAATGATGGCTCTTTCTCCACCTCAGTTACTCAACAAATTTGAGTAAAGGCTCCTAGTTCTGGTTCCATGGGGTAACAGTTCCAAGATCTACTACATTTCACATCAGGTCTCTGGTTCTCTGCTGAGGCTGCTATGGCTTCTACTCCCATAGGCCCTAATATGACTGGCGCAAGAATTTCTGGTGCTGGAGAACACATTGTATTGTTTTTGCCTTTTCTCTGTTGGTGGTGAAAGTCTTAAATTCTTCTGCTGGATCTGCTCAGTTTAATGGCTTAAAAAAATAATGGCACTTGGGTTGTTTCCAACTCCTTTCTATTGTGCCATTACAAACTAATGGATAGAGAAGCTGTGGTATATTCACA